GTGTAACACCCCACTTTTCTTAAATCTTAATAACAATACTTAACTTAGAAAGGAATACTAAACATGCATAAAAACTTACTAAACAAACTTCAAGAGGTGTCACCGCCACAATCACCATACATTGTGATTGCATAGGCAAGGATAGGATCTAAACATAGTCACGCTTACTAACTTTAAACAAACTTGGGGAATAATCCCGGTGTCCAACACCAACAAAACATCTAAATAGGTCTACAACCAAGTCTCAACATAAACATAAATGATAAGAGTTTAGACTACAACTAGCACTCTAAGCTAAGCTAGTCTAACTCAATCACTCTCAAGAACTTAGCTTGGCCCACCTGAAAGGGGTTAACAAACAAACAAGTAGAAAACAATCCGTTACCACGAAGTTAAGTATAACGCCACTCAACCCTGTAAAATAATATAGCATATACTTTTGGAAAACATTTGTTTCACACACTTAGATCAAGTATTCTCAATCACTTAAACAACATTCAAACATACTCAACAGTATGTCTATATGCTTGCAACCTACTTATCAAATAGGTATACTTTCTCAATCAGTTAACTCATCAACAATCTCATGCTTTCACATACATATCTTATCATGGCGAAATACACTAATCATGCTCAAACCGATGGGTAATAATATACTTAAACTTCAACAAGCAATCTCATGTCATCATAAATCTCAATAAGCAATCTCATGCTAACATATATCTCAATAAGCAATCTCATGCTATCATATATCTCAATAAGCAATCTCATGCTATCATATATCTCAATAAGCAATCTCATGCTATCATATATCTCAATAAGCAATCTCATGCTATCATACATCTCAATAAGCAATCTCATGCTAACATACATCTTAATAAGCAATCTCATGCTATCATACATCTCAATAAGCAATCTCATGCTATCATACATCTCAATAAGCAATCTCATGCTAACATACATCTCAATAAGCAATCTCATGCTATCATATATTAAATAAACGACAATATAAAGCCATGCTTCTTCACATACTTTCATGTAAAACATGCAACTCTTATAATCATGCAACAAAATGAACATGATGCTTTAGTATAAGTATAGATAGATATACACATACACTCTTTCTTTGGTAACAAGGAACACTTGTTCGAAAGAGGTTTCTTAGAGTCACAATGACTCGCTTTTCTCTTCTTTCTCTTGAGTCACGTTGACTCGCTTTCTCTCTTTACTTTTACTCGTGGGCGAGGTAGGAACTTCACCATAATGTGAACGGACCTATCTGGGTTTGGCATCTAGCCGGTCTAATACTCATCTCGCCCACCGGACCACTCTCTTGGTTCGTTTCTCAAACTCTGTGGAATCAGGTATCGTACTTGTCAATGTGCACACCCTCTAACCGGGATTCCAAGCCCGGCGGGTAGTATCCTGCCTAGTAACTCGGAAATATCGACCTCGTTACTTCACATCGGATCGCAATGTCCGTTTCTTTCTTTACTTTCTCTTTCCTTCCGAAAGGACATAGTCCTAACGGGCCTCCAAAACCTCAGATTACTCACACTAGGTACATATAGATATAACTCATGCAACAACTTTACTTATGAAAACTTATGCACATAGCTTCTCAACAACTTCTCTTTTCTCACAATTTGGAAATCAAGTAACATGCAACTTCTCAATGCAACTAGATAATGACTTTTCAAAATAGATATAGGTTTTTGAAAGAATACTTAGGCTTACTTAGAGCCGCTAATGCACTTAAGTTCATGATATATTAAACATACTCTTTCACTATAAAGAATATCTCAAATTCTCTTTGATTATGCTTTAAGCCAACAATGTGCTATTCCCATGCTTATCACTTCGTAGATATCAAAACTTCTTAGCAAATATTTAACAAGTATTGATCATGCTCTTTGAACTCAAAATAGACATCATGCTCTAATATTTCACTTTACTGGACAAATAAATTCATACACTACACAATCAAATATCTCATATTCTTGACAAAATTCTCAATAACTCACAATGGTTATATAAACATGCTAATCAAGAAAACTTGAAAAATAATGATCATGTTTTTTATTCAAATAGCTAAGCCCAAATACTTCACATTTTTCTTCACTGTAAGTAATACACAGATTACTTCTATAGCATAAATCATCACAATTTCTACTGTAATTTACTCATTTCAACTCCAAATTCAATGAAGTCAAATTCTACTAGTGCGTCGTAACGATCCCGAGTGCCCGAGCCTCAAGGACCCACGAGTCCCAGTCTGAACGACACGTAGCTGAGCCACAAAGGGCCCGACCACTGCACTGGTTTGGCCTGGCGGAGCTTGGGGCGGGGCTTGAGGAGCCCCGCCACTTGGCTCCGCCAAGCAGCGGCCTAAGGCCATGGTTCTAGCCGACGGTCCCTGCCTAGGGCCATTAGCTAGCTTCGTGAGCTAGTCTGGTGCATAGACAGTGTGCAGCAGAAGGTTTTCTTCTCCACCTGCAACCATTTTGAGCAATCCAACACTCCCAAATCCTCAACAACACAAACATAGATCAACAATAGATCACTAATAGCTCAACAACATCAATAATCTAGCATTTTTACACATTTTCATCAATAAACTTGACTTCACAGAGTCTAAGTAAAGAGGTGGGAGTCCATAGGTTATACCTTTGTTGTCTCTTCTTCTTGTGTGGATCTCAGCCTCCTCTCCACCCAACTTCCACTACTTCCTTCACCACCTAAACACCCCAAACAACCACAACCATCTAAGCCTAAGAGAACTCAAAGAATGAAAGCAAAGAAGACACCAAAACAAAAAGGAGAAGATGAATATTGGTGAAGGATGGAACTTACTGTGTGTTTTCTCTTCTTCTAGCAGACAAGATTGGGAGAGGCAAGGGAATGAGATCAGGTAAGAAAATGAGGTTACTATTCTATTTATATGGCTCAAAACCCTAGGATAATCTTCAATGATTGATGGAGGGCAAAAGAGTAATTTAGCTTGGCTTCTAAAAGATCCGACAAAGTTTTGATAAAGCTTATGGTTCACCTTGCATCACGGACATAGTCTAAAAAGATGGTTTTAAATAGTTTGGGGGGTAAAAATAGATTTTTTCAAAAATACTTTCTAGACAACCACTTAATTTAGGTTTCTCAGATTTCTCACAGTTTCACTCAGATTGACTTTTAGATAAAAAAAACTTGGTACGCAATGTACCCGAGAATTTAGGATTTTAGAATTAAAATAAGTCCCGGTGTTAAATTTTATTTAAAATGTAACTCAAAATAGTTTATTCAACCACTGTTTTTCTCATAAAAATTTTGGAATGATGAAAAATGGCTATTTTGGAATTTCTTAAAACCGAATTTATAAAATTAAATGTTGGGTTGTCACACAAGGTCAATGTAAGAATTGCAATGAATACTACCTAACCCTTGAATAACTAGCTGGGAATCAGACTCAATGTAAGAATTGCAACGAGTACTACTTAGCCCTTGAATAATGTAATAGACCACACTTCTCAGCATAATGAAGCGTATCAGAAGGGAAAGAACAAGAAAGAATTGGGGGTAGGGTTTAGAGAGAAGGAAGAGAAGAATAGAAGATTTTGTTCCAAATTCAGCATAGTCTCTGCCATTACAACTTAGTGATTAAGTAGTGCGCGTAATTCACTCTATCCATCTCACCAATTACATAACTACTTAACAAATTGGGAAAAAGAATAAAACAGCTCAGCATTAATACGACGCCGTTTGACAGTTCGTTTAACAGCCAACCGTTGGGCTCAATACGACGTCGCTGGATACAGCTCAACCACCCTCAACTGCCAGTGATCCTACGACAACGTTTTGTGACTGTTCTTTCATTCCAGGATCAGTTCCCTCCCTCAACTTCTTCTTCTTTCTTTGATCCGCTCTCTCATGGTTCTTTTTCCCTCTTCTTCCTTCCATGACTGTTACATATAACTAGCTTGGGAATCAGACTCAACACAAACTGACGAAATGCCCATCTGAATCAACCAACTTAGCATTTCTCTGGTCGCGATAGCTTATAAATGATATAATTATCACTTCCAAATTTAAAAAGAAAAATTATTTATTTTTGTGAATTATTAATGAATTGATTAACCTCTGAATTAATAATATATATATATATATATATATATATATATATATATATATATATATTTGCATAAATAAATAATAATTTCATAGAACACCGAGTACACAAAAAGTAAAAGGATAAAGTACAAATAAACCACTGAACTATTTGGGAAACATCAATTAAGCCATCGAACTCAAATAACCTTCAAATAAGTCATTGAATCCGAAAAAAAAAAAAAAAAAAAAAAAAAAAAAAAAAAAAAAAAGAACAAATAAGCCATTGAACCCAGAAAAAAGAACAATTAACATTTTTAATAGGTTAACTCTAGATTTTTGCTGATTGGATTACCAAATGTTTATTTTATTTACGTCTCTTCTTATTAATATTAATATTAATATTATCTGCTTGGATAATATTATATTTTAAAATAATTTAATAAAAATAGTTTTATCTTGTCGAGATTTGATTTATTTATTTTTTATTATTTTTTCACTGAATATTCTGTTTAAAAATAATAAATAAATAAATAAATAAGATCCCGACAAGACAAAATTATTTTGATTATAATTACTTTAAAATATATTAGTATGGGGTGGATTATAATGAAAAAATGTAAATAAAATAAAAATGTGGCAATCCAATCAGCAAAAACTTAGGGTTAACCTGTTAAAAATGTTGATTGTCCTTTTTTTTTTTTTTTTTTTTTTTTTTTTTTTTTGGGTTCAATGGCTTATTTTGAGGTTATTTGAGTTTGATGGCTTAGTTGATGTTTCTCATATAGTTTAGTGATTTATTTGTACTTTATCCCAAAAATAAACAATGCCTTTCAAAAAAAAAAAAAATGGTTTTTATATTTTCTTTTGTTTTCAGTCAAGCTGCTCGGAATTCGAAATCCCTTCGTTTCGGCTTATCCCATCTTCTGAAGATAATGAGGTACTTTCCTCTCAATTCTATACGGAGTATAATTTACTTCTACATTTTGTGTGTTTTTAAAATAATTTTATTACTAAATCTTCGAAATTCTGGCCTCCAAAGGCTCCTTTGCAGCAGCTGCAGGTTGCGATTTCTGCCCAGCATATTCACAGGTGAACATTTCATAATTCACTCCCATGAATCAGATTACTTACAATACTTTATTTTATTTTATTTTTTATGGTGATTGAATTGCTAATACCATTGCATTAGAATTAAACTGTTGTATCTAATCAGTTGAAGGCCTCAAAGAAATTCAAAATTCATTTCATGCTTTCCACTTGTGTAGGAATGAGATTTGCAGTTTTGTAGTAGAGATGTGATGACTCTCGAGTGACTGATACTAATTGTTTTGCACTCAATTGAGCTGAAAATTAACCCTTCCTGTTTATGTAATTATTTTTGGTGAAATTATACTCTTACAACTGTTTTAGTGTCAGTAATTATATGTATTTTGAGTTCTAAATGATATGGGCTTATGTAATTCAAAATTGAAGTAAACTGGATTTTTTTACTGTGTGATATCACATTAATCTGTCAAGTTGAGGCCATGGCTCATGGCTTTTTGGATAGGAATTTCTGTAGCTCATGAGTGCTGTAACTCCGCTTAATATTTTACTTTTTCCTGAATAATGAGGTTCTTCTCTTTTCCTTTTCTTATAGTTAGTTTGTTTTTCTAATTAAGTAAAATGCTCATATTCCTTGGTCTCCTTTTTGTTTATTCATAAAAGTGTGTAGGGTTGTAGTTAGTATTTTTCTTATTTTTATAATTTTATTTATGAAAAACATGCTAGTTGCTTACCCTTCTAATGTTTACAATTTCTAGGATAAGGAGAGGAAGTGTTTGCTTCCACTTTTCATACAATAATGACAAATTTTACATGACTCAAGGTGAGATAAATTCTTGATAAAAAATATTTGCTTTACCTATTTTTGGCCTTTATATTTGGCTAGTTTTCAATCTCTTTTTGTTTTATGCTACCCACTTTTGGAGTCAATACATGTTCAGAACCAAAAGTCTGCATATTGATTATGTTTAGGATAATTTTGAGAAATTAAGGTTTGAAACAGAAAGTAACACGGTTTTTAAAAAAATGCCTTTTCTCAAATATGGTAGATCTATATGAACAATTGTTTTGCTTATTGGTAAAACAATATAGGATCAATAATTTTTTTCATTTCTAATTGCATTGACAAAGCAAGGATTAAAGTTCGTGTAGACAAGCCAAGATGTGGTTTAAAATAGATGTATTTTGAGTTTGCTTAGGAAATAAAAACTTTGTTTTTCTTAAAATCCTTGGTGATTGGTGAAAAGAACTAGAATTGAACCTTGATAGAAGAAATATGACTTCATATTTCTTTGAACATGCATAAACATAAAATTGGGGACTCAGTATCCACTTCTTAGTTCTTCTACATGTACTTATGTTTATATATATTTCCTTTCACAATCATCATTTATTTTGTTTTGTTTTCTAATAGTTGGATTTGATTAGATCTCCAACTTAACTTCAACTATAAACAGTGTTAGGATGATAATTTGGTTTTCTATTGTCATTTTTCAGTCTTCTTTGTATATGGGATGCACTCCCTTGGTGTTCTTAATATATTCTTTACCTATCATAAAGTCTAATAAAATTAAATAAAAGGGTAGTATCAAGTATGTAGAGTAAATCTTGGGCTCAAAGTTGGAGGATAATTTTGTGAATGCCCTACAACAGATACTATTTCATATGGTTCAGAATGAATTGAGTACCATTTCTAGCATACCAACATGGTCATCTAAGGTTAGAATCTCCAAGAACTTTTTGAGTTCAAGTATTGAGTTATGACTACAAAACTAAATTGTCAATTTTCCATTGGATGAACCTTGAAATATTTCTCTTGAAATGCTTGGAAACTATTAAGTGATACTTGGTTTGTGTTGATATAAAGGCTGAACAGTATGGCAGTTAATAGTATTATTTTGTCCTTCTGTTCCATTTTACTTGTTCACTTTACTATTTGAATTTCAAACCACTTTATTATTATTTTTTTTTTTTGAAAAACTAAGGATTATATTAATAGAAGAAATGCTGAAGGATTATATTAACCACTTTATTTATTTATTTATTTATTATTTTGTGAAACTTACGTTGATAGGGGTTTTCTATATAGTTTTTGCTGGCCCTCAACAAATCTGCATGATTTTAGTATTTATTTTATGTGAATTGGGAATGAGCTGATTTAAAAAAAAAAAAAAAAAAAAAAAAAAAAAAAAAAAAAAAAAAAAAAAATCATTTGTAGTGGCACAGGATTTCTCGTGTCCTTTCTGCTCAATAAGTTGCCTTCACTTTGAGGTATGGCTAGCGTTATCTTTCTTGCTCATTTTTCCTTGATCAAAGTAATACATAACTGAATAAAAGTTATGGACTCTTAAAAATATTTTAATTCTATTTAGGGGCTAAAGTGTCACTTTTCTGCTTGTCATGGTGAATTCATCTTTAAGTACTCAGTAAGCTTCTCTGATCTTGTGGAATTTTGATGTTTAGTTTTTTTAGCTATAAAGCTTAAACTCCTAGATACGTTTCAGGTGACTGATGATGTCCCAGATGTATTTGTATTTGTCAATTTTGACCAAAGGAAATCTGAGGTACAAACAAACTCAATTTTCTTCATCAACCCAAGAACAAAAAAATCAGGAAATATTTCTGATGTGTTAGGCAACAAAAATACTTAACCCATACGTTTGTAACAATTAAAAATATATTAATAAATTTACATACCTGAAATTATGTTTCCATTGAACTTTCCTCTAATTATTACACACTTCCTTTTAATGTGGGGAAAGATAGCTATCAAGAGGTGTCTGGTTCAATTTATATAATATAACCAAGGTAATGTGAGCATATTTATGTTATATAATCTCATTGGTTTAAGTTCTTACATAACCCATGGTAATGTAAGTATGTAACATTATTGCCACATCAGATTTTGGAATTTTGTTAAGATAATCTGATTACCTTCTATACCTTAGGTAATGTGACATGATTTCCATCTTTTCCCTTTAAAGTACACACATGTATACATGTGTGTGTTTGTATATATTTATGTGTATAAAAACACACATTGTTAGGATCAAACGCTTGCCATTACGCCAAAATCTATAGTTAGTAGCGAAAGTGCAACTTTATTTCCTTATACTTACTTACGTAGCAACCAACACCACATTTCGAAAGGCAGGGTGCTGGACTTGGCCCTTCAGGCCTCCGCCCAACACACATATATGTATATTTATTTGTGTGTATATTTATTTATTGATTTATAAATTTATGCTATTTACTTAATTTGTTCATTGCATGGGATTATAAATAAGGATCCGGAGCCTCCGCTAGTGTTGAAGGTATCGAATATTGATTAGAAAATAATAGCTATTGTAGCTGGGCAAGAATCCATTCTTGCTGGAAGAACCTTGTTTGCCCTTTTTCATTTTAATCTCCTCAATTCTGCATTGCTTCTTCCTCATCTGCTCTTTACTCTAACAGTGTTTCACCTCAACTTAAAGCTTTAGCTATTAGTGAGGATATATTTATCCTCAAGAATAGATAATAAACTAGAATATGTTCCTATTTCTTGTGAGTCCTGTATTATTTAATATAGAGAATATAGACAATTTGAATTTAGAATATGTGATCAAGGATCTGATCATCTTATTATATGCCATATATTTCGTTCATTTTAATTCTAATTGTGTTTCTGACTTGATAGCTTTTGCCTTGCTAATGGGTGCTCTTCTCCACTTGCTAGACCTCATTGATTCTAACATGGTATCTGAGCCATATTTCATGTGCTGTTTGCTGTTTGTATTCTTCTTTGTCCAATCCAGTGCTTCTTGGTTTAATATGATATTCCCAATTCCATCTGATGTTTGAGCGATTCCCACTTCCTTTGGGAAGCTTTTGTATAATTGTTGACATTTTTTTTCTTGCAAAACTTAACTACTAGGATTATTTAATATTACTGTGCATGTCAAATATGTGATCAAGTCATTCTATTATTTTCTCATCTCTATCTATCTATCTATCGTGTCTATTCTCCTCTCCATTTCTTTGGTTCACATTTCATAGTTTGTACCTTGATGGTGGGGCAGTGATTCTTCCCACCCTCTGAACACCGAACATCCACCTTTTTATTTGCAATTGACAAAACAATTTATTTGTTCTCTTCATTTTTTACTAAGTTTTAATGATGTTTATTTACATTACTCTTTCCCATTTATTCATTTGCTGAAGGCCTATTAAGTGTCCGGAGATTTGAATTAGAGTGAAAAGAAACTTAAAGTAAGAAGGAAATGGAATGGTCGAAGAGGATAACTATGTTGTAATGAAATTGATTAGGTGAGAAAGGAAACAAAGGGAGGATATGAGAATAAGGGTGTGTTTGGGAAATAGCTGTTAGCGGGTTTGACTAGTTGATAGCATTAGCCGATTGTAGAAAAATGTTTGGTAAATTAGCTGTTAGCTGATAACTGACTACATGCAAAATGACCTTTAAGGGTATAATTTATTTTCTCAAAAAACTAATCGAAAAAGCTGTTTTGACTTTTGAGCAACTTTTTAAATTTTAGCGTTTTGGAGCAATAAGCTGATTAACCAAACACTCATATTGGTTGTTTAACAAAATCAAACAACTAATAGTGGTCAAAGTGTAAAACTGTCAAATAAGCTAAAATTGGCTGATAAGCTAACCATGTTACCAAATGGGGGCCTAAATGTGCTCAAGGGTAATAGCATATTCATGCTTCAGCTCTCCTCTCTTTAACCTCTTGTTTTTCTGTCTGTTTTATTGTAAATTATTCTCCTCTTCTGCTTTCCTCTGAATCTGTCAAAGTAATTAACCAAGTTAATTCACATGCTATAAATGACTTCATAGAAGTGCATTTTTGTGTTTGTGACATATCTTTGCTGATATTATTCTCAGATTGCTGATGTTGTTGGTCCTAGGGCGGAAACCTTCATTTTCAGGTATATAACTTTTCTATATTAGAATCTTAATTGGCTATTACTTGTCTTTCTTATCTTATGACAATATGAGTAGTATAATTTTAAAAAGTGTATAAGGTCACTGTATTTTGTTTACAGTTCAAAGTCACTAAGACGCAGAAAGTCTCAGACTGTTGTCAAATATCCAAAGCATGCAAAACATATCTCAGATTTGGTCTTCCCTACAACAGTCAATGAACTCCAGCACAAGACTGACGGTAGTAATTCCGCTTAGCGTGTTAAATTTTTCTGGCAGCTGATTTTTTTGTGTTTGTTTTCAGTAATGGCTGATTTTTATTTATTTTTTTGGGTGTATAAGTTTCTTTAGTTATAATTTGCTCGTAATATGTAGAAAATTGACCACGGTGATGCTAAACTTAGACTTTCTTTGGTTGCTAGTGTCCCCAAGTATATGTATATATATATATATATATATATATATATATATATATATATTCTCTAACATTGGGTTTAAGGTTAGTTTTTACATCCTTTGTGAATAGGAATACTTTCTGAGGAAAGAAATTGAGCAGACTCGAAAACTACAGGAATATGAATATTGAGGATAGGGAAAAAGAAACATTTTTATTAATACAAGAAGTGGTATTGAATAAAATGCTCCAAGGAAGGTTATATAACAGATAGAAACAGTGGGAGGTTTTACAGCCCCAGACTTGTTCAGTTAAACATAGAATCCCTAATAAATGATAGAGAAGCACTGCCTAAGGACAAAAGGAGGAGGAATTGAATTCATGGACTTATATCCATTAATTTAATTAACAATACCACTGTGAAAATATAATAATTGAAAGAAAAAAATACTAGACTAATGAAAGATGTATTGTATATTTGTATTTGAAACCCCAAGGAATAGCATCAGCAGCCTGCTTTGGAAAATTTCTTGGAAGTTTTACTATATCAAAGTGGACAAACTTCTTGCTAAGTGAGCTTGGGAAGCAAAGATAATGAACATAACTAGTGGAGATCTATTTTTAATTATTAATTTTTTAATTTTCATGTTTAATTTATTTTTTAATTTTTGAATTAATTTATTTTGATTAGTTTGAAATTATATTTAATAATTCAAAAATTATTTTATTTTGTTATTTAAATTTATTTTATTTAAAATTAAAATTTGAAATTATTAATTGTAGAAAAGTGAATAAAATAGTGGATGATGTGTAGGAATGTGGAGGAGTAGAACCCACAAAAAGGGAAGAAAATGGATAAGGATTAAAGACAAAATAGGATATATAGGAGACAAAATAGGATAATAATTAAGGTACCATTTTGAGTATTTACTCAAATTTAGAGTTAATTACTGATTTGGTCCCTCGACTATGAGATTTCACCAATCTAGTTCTCGACTTTTAAAATTCTCAATTTAGTCCTTGGTTATGTTTTTTTTATCCGAAATGGTCCTAACTGTTAGATATCCGTTATTTTGGGACCAAATTGGTAATTTTGTTATAGTCAAGGAACCATTTCGATCATCACATGCACTATTTTCTTCAAAAGTTAATTACTGAAATAATCCATTGACTATAGTGAAATTACCAATTTGGTCCCGAGTTAACGGACATCTAACGGTTATGACCATTTCAGGTAAAAAAAAACATAATCGGGGATTAAATTGAAGAATTTTGAAAGTCGAAGATCAAATTGGTGAAATCTCCATAATCGAGGGACCAAATCGATAATTAACTCCTCAGATTTGCAATATTTGAGATGTACCCCACCGTCCCTACACAGCTCATCAATAATTAAATCCGAAATGTTTCTATATACGGTGGTACAAAAATTCTATTTATTCTGCTTTTTTTTCTTTTGTTGTTGTTTTTGAAAGGATTTATTTTGCTCTATATCTTCTAATTCTTACAAAAGAAATTTCACTCTTTCAACAAAATCAAGTTCTAGATTTGAGGTACATGCTCATTCTCTCCCCCCTTCACATTTCTTCTTCGTTATTTGCATCCACATTTCATGTAGCTATATGTGTTTGTGTAAACATCAACCAACCATAATTTGGAACCATTCATACATATATGCATCGTTTAATTCATTGTGCATATACACATCTAAGTGCAAATCTATTAAAACAAGTAATTAATTATAGATATACTTATCAAAATCAGTCAAATTCAATTTAAAATATTCAAAAATGTCCTCACTTTCACCAAAATCTACTCTTTTTTGTATAATAATATTTTATATATTTTAGATTAAATTTGATCAATTTGAAAAGTCTAAGAATTAAAAGAAAAAAATGTATGTAGACACGCCGAGCATGGCATGTGCACTTCATGTGCCGTGTTGGGTGCAGAGTTTCCCATCACGCATGGATTGCGCGTCACTTTGTTCAAAAGGTGGGCCCCACAAAAAAAAAAAAAAAAAAAAAAAACTTAATTTGCTGGAAAAAAAAAAAAACAAAAAAAATCTCCCCAAAATTCATCTTCCCGTTTGTAAAAAAAACCTCTATTTGATTTTTCCTATGTAAAAGTAAAAAAAAAAAAAAAAGTACAATTGGGGTTACTCTTATATATTTTGTGTGTGTAATCAATCAATTAATTTGTAAAGCAAATTAAAAATTGATTTCAATTAAAAGTATTACTCTACAAATTAAATGCAGGAAAATGGATTCATTCTTTCATGGCTTTCATGCCTTGATATCACTTGAAGAGAAAGCTGCACGAGAAGAAAGTTTTGAGTATTATTGCAAGGCTGTAGACTTGTACAACGCCCTCAGTCAGCAGGTTACTAAGAGAGTATGTAATGTTACATAATTCTTAAATTGATTTATATATTCATCCATTATTCTTTGCATTATTCATATTCAATTCTTATACTTTAATTTGAACTAGTTTTTAGATTTTTTAGTACTAGTGAAAGTATAATTATATAATTTATGAATAAAAATGAAATTAACTCGCATATATATATATATATATATATATATATATATATATATATATATATATATATATGTATTCGTTCAATTGTTAATTTCTAGTTTGTTCTTCAATACTAATTAATTATATAGAGAGGTTATTTTACCTTTTGTTAAAGTTTTATTTCACTTCAAATGTAATTTTGTGCAGCCAGTGTTTCTGAATAAATGTATGAGTTATGTATTACCAGAGGAACACAAAAAGAGGTATGCTTTCAAACCAAAAATTCACCTAAACTTTCACTATGTCGATTAATACTGGTTTTTCAACACTAAATATATATGTAAGAATAGTTCTTTCTAGCTAGCCAAACATTTGGCATGAAATACAGCATTTAATGTTTCAATAGCTTTTTTTCAAAAGTAAAATTAAAAAAATTAATTTTAATTTCAAATTGTACATATTTAAACAATAATTTTAATAATAATGATTTTGATTTCAGTTTATTAATTTTTTTTTTTTTTTTTAAAAAAGCTACTTTTAGTAAAACATACATTTTAAAAAAAATAATTCTAATTGTTATATTTGAACAAACTCCCCTTAATGTTTTCGTTCAATTCAACTTGAATATTTTTAGTATTTCTAATTTATACATGTTTGATTTAAAACTCAATATGATATATTAACTTTTTTTAAATATTATTTTTATGTTTTAGGGCACAAATGATAATTTCTTTGTCAACCGCTTATAATGATGAATCACAAATGCAAAGTTGCTTCCCTCTTTTTATATTGTTGGCTAGAGATATTTCAGTTCCAACAACTAAGGTGATTTTTCTTATTCCTCATTTATATTTCTCCACTCTTAATTACCGTGTTACTCTTGTGATAGGTAAAGTTTATGATAAAACCACACTTAATTATCTATATATATATATATCGAAGGGTTCAAGTGTGGGTATAGCTTTCTATACGGTTGTGCGATTGACGCACCTTAAGTAATACACAAATCATGCACCTTAAGCACACAAACAAAGCACCTTAAGCACACAAACGAAGCACCTTAAGTACACAAACCGCGCACATTAAGAACACAAACCACGCACGTACCTAAGGTTTTAAAATGTCGCGCCTAAGTTTCAACACCTCACGCACTTTAAGAAAAAAAATAACGCACCTAAGTAACCACACAACCACACCTGAGAAGGTCAACTACATGGGAACCCATATATATATATATATATATATATATATATATATATATATATATATTATGCATCCATTTAGGATAACAAATTACATTAGTATTAATTCTAATTCATTGCAAATGAGTTTCATGTTTATTTGGATTATATATACATGTGTATTGACTTTGCCAAATAAACCTAAGACCAACTCCAGCGGAGCGGCAAAATGGCACCAAACGCCAAAATGGCGCCCAATTTGGCGCTGAACCTTCTCCAGTGAAGGCGCCAAATTGGGCGCCAGTTTGGCGATTGTCTACTGTGTAGCGCCGTCACTGTAGTTTTACGTCAAAATGGTGTAAACCATTTTATCCCAACTTTGCCCATTGTCTTTTTTATTAATTAATTCCTTTTGTATCCATATTTTGTTTTTATGAATTTACATATTTTGTTAAATACATAAACATAAAATTTTAATAATTAAAAATAAATTATATTATTTGAAAGATTGTATCAAGAAGATTAAAACAAACCTAATATTATATATAGATTAATTAAAAATTAAAGTACATAAAACATATTTTTCATAAAATTAAACTGAATACATCCAAAATTAAACAAAACATACTTAGAATTAATAATCTCCGCATTATGCACTTCGTAATGCATTGATTGAACATTTGTGGAAATGATACGGTTATTTTGAAAATTAAATGAATGGTTGTTATATGTTATATTATTGTGCAATAAAAATATTATTTGCATTACAATTAAATTTTATATTAAAAAATTAAAGTAAAAAAATTAAAGTTTTAATTTATGAGAAAATAAATTATTTTAGTGTAGAAATAAAATTTGGTGTAATGAGTTGGAGATAAATAAAATTTGGTGTAAGAATATGTTGGGAATATTTCTTTTGGTGTAATAGGTTGGAGATGACCTAACACAAATATGAGTACAGTTAAGCAAATAATGGAAGAGCACGAGTGCACGACTTTCAAGTATTGTTCGACAAAGTAAAACTTTTTGAAGGATAACTAAAAATGAATAATATGCATGATTTTCATGGCTTAAATCCTTCAAAAAAGTGTTGCAAAAAAAAAAAAAAAAGTGTTAAAATGAAATTTAAATGGTTTGAGAATGATGTGATATTATATTGCATCTATCATTTAAATTCTAATTGAATTGGACATATGTGTGAAAGATTAAAGTGAGTTACAATATTTAGTTTATTTATTTATTTATCTATATTTTAATATAGAAAACAATTAAGAGATTAACAAAGTTCCGATCGATCTATAGTTCACCTTCAAGACTGAGTATTTAATGTATACTGTGTGCTTGCACATATATTGGTGTCATTGTTTCTAGTGTCTCCTACCAACAAATAATGAGGGTGATCTGATCCTTTCACAAAAAAAAAAAAAAATGAGGGTGATCTGATTGCATTTTGATTATATAAGATTACATATAAATTTTGAGCATTTAACATAACTTATAAATACATACAACATATTATATTAATATATACATGGTTAGCTTTTAATACGTATGTGTTTTGCAATACCTACAAAAAGGAAATTGAAGCCTTTGAGTACTCCATTGGAGGAATGTGGAGACTTGACGCTTGTCCTGCAGGAAGGGAAAGGGAGAGATACACTGACGTTAAGTTTGTTCTACCTCAAGTAGAAGAAACATTGAGGAAAATAAAAGAAGAGTCTCTTTCCATTTTATTCATTAGCACGGGTATGTTGTTACATACTTATTATATTCCCTAATTATAATTAATTAATTTATCTAAATAAAAATAAACTTGACCTTTATTTTATATATATATATATATATATATATATATATATATATATATATATGTAATAATAATATTATTTTCTTATCTCTTTTTACAGCTGAAATTGCTAAGAATCATAAGGATTTGTCCTCGTTTCCTTGTAAGTACACATGCAAAATCCATAACTTTGTGTATATATGTCATAGTTGAGATGCATGTCTTTGTTTATTATTATTATTATTGAAATAATTAATTATTATAATGATCTATATATACAATGTGGAATTTAGGGTTCCATATTAATTAAATACTATAAGGTGTTCTAGTCTTCTAGATACCAACTTAACTACATAAATAAATGTTGATACTATATAAATAGAAGTTTAGTAAAGATATATACTTTTGTAAAAATATTTGTCCGTTACAATTATTTTTTCTTCTTCTATATTTTTTTGTGACAAAAAGATTCGATCATTGATCTTTTGTAACGAATTTTACCTACATGACCAATTGAACTACTAGTGTAAACTTCTTTCAATGTTTTCAATTGATTCTTTTGGTATATTGTCTCTCTCTCTCTTCTTCTTCTTCTTCTTCTTTTTTCTTGGTCATTCTATATATAAACTTTTTTTTTAATAGTTCTAATTTAATCCTTTGTGGAATGATAGCAAACGTTGAAGGGAAATGCTTGGTGGGAAAGGTGCCATTTGAATTAGTTTTTAACTCATGGATGAATACTCCCAACTTTGCTTCGGAAGAAAATGCTCATCTTCATAAATCTGTCAAATTATACCCATATTTTATACAGGTATGATATATCGATCTATACTAATATTTTCGTTTAACACTTTATACTTCAATCATTTTCAACCCACAATAAGTTGATATTTCAATGATATAAAAGTAAGTACATATAGTGAAGAAGATTTAAAAAAAAAAATTACAATATGTTTTGCTCCAATATCTTTTTTTTTTTTTTTAAACGTGTATTTTGATTATATTAAGTGGGTTGACAAGCCAAACACCTTGTGGTCTAGTGGCATCAAGATACCCTCCCATATAGGAAATTGTGAGTTTGAGCTTAAATGGAAGCTTATAACAAAGTCAGTAGTACTAAAAAAAAAGGTATAGTAATGTAACGTGGACAAAACATTTCATTTTTTTCATTTTTTTTTTACAAAAAATACATTATGGTAAAATATATTGTAGAAACTCTCATTTTATTAAGAAAAATTATCCCTCACATATATTTTTTTGAAAGGAAAACTTCAATGCATTAATATCTGGCCTCAGCCAAAATAACATCCGAAACAAAGGAAGAAGGAGAGGACAACCACTCCATACAACAGTACAACCAGCATTGAACACGGCATTTTTTGTCAACAAATGAGTTACCGTGTTCGCGGATCGTTTAACAAACATAAAACTAATATCGCTAAGAACAAGGTCAATGTAAGAATTGCAACGAATATTACCTAGCCCTTGAATAATTAGCTAGGAATCAGACTCAACATAAACTGACGAAATTCTAATCTGAATCAACCAACTTAACACTTCTCTGATCGCGATAACTTATAAATGATATAATTATCACTTCCAAATTTAAAAAGAAAAATTATTTATTTTTGTGAATTATTAATGAATCGATTAACCTCTGAATTAATAATATATATATATTTGTATAAATAATAATTTCATAGAACACCGAGTACACAAAAAGTAAAATATATTTTTAAACAATGGTTTTTATATTTTCTTTTGTTTTCAGTCAAGCTGCTCGCAATTCGAAATCCCTTCGTTTCGGCTTATCCCATCTTCTGAAGATAATGAGGTACTTTCCTCTCAATTCTATTTTACTTCTACATTTGTGTGTTTTTAAAATAATTTTATTACTAAATCTTCGAAATTTTGGCCTCCAAAGGCTCCATTGCAGCAGCTGCAGGTTGCGATTTCTACTCAGCATATTCACAGGTGAACATTTCATAATTTTCGCATTTTCCTTACGCAAAAGAGGTTAACTATATTCACTCCCTTGAATCAGATTACTTACAATACTTCATTTTATTTTATTTAATTTTTTTTTTTTTATGGTGATTGAATTGCTAATACCATTGCATTAGCATTAAACTGTTGTATATAATCAGTTGAAGGTAGGCCTCAAAGAAATTCAAAATTCATTTCATGGCTCATGTAAATGATGTAGTTATATGTATTTTGAGTTTCTAAATGATGTGGGCTTATGTAATTCAAAATTGAAGTAAACTGGATATTTTTTACTGTGTGATATCACATTAGTCTGTCAAGTTGAGGCCATGGCTCATGGCTTTTTGGATAGGAATTTCTGTAGCTCATGAGTGCTGTAACTCCTTAATATTTTACTTTTTCCTGAATACTGAGGTTCTTCTCTTTTCCTTTTCTTATAGTTAGTTTGTTTTTCTAATTAAGTAAAATGCTCATATTCCTTGGTCTGCTTTTTGTTTATTCATAAAAGTGTGTAGGGTTGTAGTTAGTATGTTTCTTATTTTTATTTATGAAAAACATGCTAGTTGCTTACCCTTCTAATGTTTACAATTTCTAGGATAAGGAGAGGAAGTGTTTGCTTCCACTTTTCATACAATAATGACAAATTTGACAAGACTCAAGGTAAGATAAATTCTTGATAAAAATATATGCTTTACCTATTTTTGGCCTTTATATTTGGCTAGTTTTCAATCTCTTTTTGTTTTATGATACCCACTTTTGGACAGACGGGATACCTTAAGGGTCTATTCGGAAACACGAAAATGTTTTCTAGAAAACAATTTCATTTTCTAGTGTTTGACTGAAAGTCAGAAAGCAGTCTTTTTCTGCTTGGTCAAAGTAAAAAAATTGTATATTTTCTGTTTGGTTCATTTTTAAAAACATGAACATAAATCTATTACTAAATTATTTCTTATAAAATATTAATTATTTTAATGATAATAATTATTTATATTAAAATAAAATTATAAATTTAAATTTATAATAGTTATAATGATAATGATTAATAACAATTATAACAAAAAGATCTAAATAAATAATTTTTCACTTGTAACTTATTATAGTAAACATAAATACATAAATTGAAATATATAATAATTTTGAAATAAAGAAATTGAAGAAAAAAAATTACTTTTTCTGGGGGTCGAGAGGGGGGGGGGGGGGGGGGATGTGGGTTAGGCCGAGCCAAAATTTTATTTGTTTGGCTCAGCCCAATTCGACTCATATTTAATTTCTGAACTAAAGAAATTGAATAATTTTTATTTATTTTTTATTAAAATTTTTGGGTTGTGGGATTTGATCCGGCTCAACCCAATCTATATTTTAATTGGCCATTGATAAGTGTAATAAGTCTAAACTAAAGAAATTAAAGATTTTTTTAATAAAAGATTTGGGTTATGGGCCGGGTCGGACATCGATTTTATTGTTTGGCCCAGCTAGATTAGACCCATATTTTAACCAGACTAGCCCAATCCAATTCAAATAATAACTAGATAGATGGCGAGACAACCCGCCCATTTGACACCACTTAGAGGAAGAGAGAGAGAGAGTGATACACACCCAAGGGAATGGGTGGTTTACTCACGCAAAAAAAGGGAATCAACACAAGATTGGAAAGCAAGAAATCTGGACAGCAAATCAGGCAAATCAAACAATCAACACACTGATCATGGGATAAGCTTAAATCATGCAACCTGACAGAAATAAATCAGCTTCTCAATTCTCTCCCTTTACTATATTTATTTTCTGCATTGCATTATAAATTGTAACCTCCTCAAGAAAGGAGGGCATCCAATAATCTTCCTTAGTCTTTAAGCTTTAGTAGCTAGGCAAGAGCCTAAAACTCTTGTGGGGCAAGAGCTTAAAACTCTTGTTGGGGAAAGTCTTGTGACTTCCTGTTTCTTTTCTTTAGTTTCTAGTCAATCAAAATACCTCCTTGTTCTTTTCTCTTACAGAGAGAGAGAGAGAGAATTGAGCGTGGTATAGAAAATTAGAAATCCAAAAAATGTTTTCCGAGTAAAAATCTCGAAAGACATTTTCCGCCAAAACAAGTTATTTTTCCTCTGACCAGAATGAGTATTTGCTGTTGACTTCATTTTTAGTTCATAGCCAATCACTGGGAAATCCAGAAAATGACTTCCGGAAGTCAGTTTTCAGGTTTCCAAACGGACCCTAGTTAACCAGTAAGCAAGGCTTTCACATTGTGCTGGATTTAGGGAAGGAACATGGGCATCGCCTTATCTTTGCTCTTGGAGAGGCTTCTTCAGGGCTTAAATTCACAAATATAACTGCTAATAATTGTGCACTTGTCCACTACACTAGGTGCAACTTTCATGTTCCACTTCTATATATTCTTCAAAAAAAAATTATCAACATTGTAATATCAATAGAATTTATGTGTGTGAGAGAAAATAGCAGTTTTGCATTTTCTCTTCTTTAGTCCTTAATGGTAACAGATATGAAGTATATGTATATCTAGTTGTAACTAAGACAGTTAAACCCGCAACTCCCATCAAATTTAACAAAGATAATGCCATTCAAAACAATCTTCCTCAGATTAGATATTCAACTACAAATCATAATTGTTTCAGTATTGATTCTTCAATTTATCATGATTTTTTGCTGCAAATATTCTAGCACTGACTGGCTCATCATTGAGAATTTGGAGTCAATACATGTTGTCATGTTCAGAACCAAAAGTCTGCATATTGATTATGTTTAGGATAATTTTGAGAAATTTGGGAATTCTATAAATTAAGGTTTGAAACAGAAAGTTAACACGTTTTTAAAAAATTGCTTTTTCTCAAATATGGTAGATCTATATGAACAATTGTTTTTTTTTTTTTTTTTGGTGAAGAATATATGAACAATTGTTTTGCTTATTGGGAAAACAATATAGGATCAATAATTATTTTCATTTCTAATTGCATTGACAAAACAAGGATTAAAGCTTGTGTAGGCAAGCCAAGATGTGGTTTAAAATAGATGTATTTTGAGTTTGCTTAGGAAATAAAAACTTTGTTTTTCTTAAAATCCTTGGTGATTGGTGAAAAGAACTAGAATTGAAACTTGATAGAACAAATATAACTTCATATTTCTTTGAACATGCATAAAGATAAAATTGGGGACTCAGTATCCACTTCTTAGTTCTTCTACATGTACTTATGTTTATCTATATTTCCTTTCACAATCATCATTTATTTTGTTTTGTTTTCTAATAGTTGGATTTGATTAGATCACCAACTTAACTTCAACTACAAACAGTGTTAGGATGATGATTTGGTTTTCTATTGTCATTTTTCAGTTTTCTTTGTATATGGGATGCACTCCCTTGGTGTTCTTAATATATTCTTTACCTATCATAAAGTCAAATAAAATTAAATAAAAGGGTAGTATGTAGAGTAAATCTTGGGCTCAAAGTTGGAGGATAATTTTGTGAATGCCCTACAGCAGAATCTCCAAGAACTTTTTGAGTCCAAGTATTGAGTTATGACTACAAAACTAAATTGTCAATTTTCCATTGGAACCTTGAAATATTTCTCTTGAAATGCTTGGAAACTATTGAGTGATACTTGGTTTGTGTTGATATAAAGGCTGAACAGTATGGCAGTTAATAGTGTTGAAAATAAAGAGTTAGTTTTATAGGGTTGTGTCTGTTTATGAATAGGTGTCAGTTACGGGTAGTTACTTACAGTTATGTATTTGTGTATATATATGTACTGTGTTTCTGTATTAGAAACAGAGAGAATATACCAATATAATTTCAGTTTTATATTCATTTCCTAGTCTTGATTCTTTATATTGCTTCCGCCTAACTGGCGGGTGGTATTATTCTCCACCCGCCAGGCCATTCCATCTTCCAAATTCAACATGGTATCAGAGCCACTTTTCTAGGGCATTTTCCTTACATTTTCCGGCATAAATAGTAGCCCTGAGACTGCCTCTTGAATTCCGACGTATCTATGGTGGTTTGCTTCAAAATCTAAAACCACAGTCACTCTCGGAATCGCGCCGGCGACCTTCCCTCATGCGCTGGCGCATGAGCCCACCTCCGGCGTGATTTTCCGACGAAATTCTCCAGAAGCCTCTGTCCGTACCCCGCAACCCCATCTGCGTAGATTTGGCTGTGGTGTATTTTTCCTTGTGATGTATTCTCCGGTGAAAATTCCAGATTGTTGTTTTGCCCTTGGACCTTTTGGTGAAAGTTTGAAGGCTTTTTCGGTTTGTTGCCAAACTTTTTTCCGGGGTGTTTTTGGTATAACCGTATTTGTTTCTTTATATTCGGTATACCATACTTAGTCCCTAGGGTTTTCATGTTTGGCACCTTGTTTATTTCCGGAAGCTTCTTTTGTTATTCACTTATCCTATAAGAGGTATAAACAACAATCATGTGGTTTTCTCGGTATTCATACAACCATCATGTGGGCTCTACTACCTCCCATTTGCTGCTCAGATTGGTTTGCTTTGTCGTTCGTGATGAAGATTGTCGTTGGCAAATCCTAGAGTGCTTATGTTGCTGTGAGGGTGTTCGTGTCAGTTTGTGACAAGCTCTGGTGCCTTCATTCCCAAGGGTTGTTTATAGCATTGTTCCTCCGAAGCCATCCAGCACTGTTATTCTCTAGTTGCTTTTAATCTTCATTTGTAATTCTAAGGTAGAGTGTATGCTTTAATCCAAGCTTGAAACTTCCAGATGTTCAAGCTTGAGGGGGAGTGTTGAAAATAAAGAGTTAGTTTTATCCATAGGGTTGTGTCTGTTTATGAATAGGTGTCAGTTACGGGTAGTTAATTACAGTTATGTATTTGTGTATATATATATACATACTGTGTTTCTGTATTAGAAACAGAGAGAATATACCAATATAATTTCAGTTTTATATTCATTTCCTAGTCTTGATTCTTTATATTGCTTCCGCCTAACTGGCGGGTGGTATTATTCTCCACCCGCCAGACCATTCCATCTTCCAAATTCAACAAATAGTACTATACTACTATTGTCATTCTGTTCCATTTTACTTGTTCACTTTACTATTTGAATTTCAAACAACTTTATTTATTTATTTGTATATTATTTTGTGAAACGTACGTTGATAGGGGTTTTCTATATAGTTTTTGATGGCCCTCAACAAATCTGCATTATTTTAGTATTTCTTTTATGTAAATTGGGAATGAGCTGATTTTTTTTTAATCATTTGTAGTGGCACAGGACTTCTCGTGTCCTTTCTGCTCAATAAGTTGCCTTGACTTTGAGGTATGGCTAGCATTATCTTTCTTGCTCATTTTTCCTTGATCAAGATCATACATAACTGAATACATGTTATGGACTCTTAAAAATATTTTAATTCTATTTAGGGGCTAAAGTGTCACTTTTCTGCTTGTCATGGTGAATTCAACTTTAAGTACTCAGTAAGCTTCTCTGATCTTATGGCATTTTGATGTTTAGTTTTTTTAGCTATAAAGCTTGAACTCCTAAATATGTTTCAGGTGACTGATGATGTCCCAGATGTATATGTTTCTGTCAATTTTGATCAAAGGAAATCTGAGGTACAAACTCTTAATTTTCTTCATCAACCCAAGATAAAAAAAAAAATCAAGAAATATTTCTGATATATTAGGCCACAAAAATACTTAACCCATACGTTTGTAACAATTAAAAATATATTAATAAATTTACATACCTGAAATTATGTCTCCATTGAACTTTCCTCTAATTATTAAACACTTCCTTTTAATGTGTGGAAAGATAGCTCTCAAGAGGTGTTTGGTTCAATTTATATAATATAACCAAGGTAATGTGAGCATATTTATGTTATATAATCTCATTGGTAATGTAAGTATGTAACATTATTGCCACATTAGATTTTGGAATTTTGTTAAGATAATCTGATTAACTTCTATACCTTAGGTATTGTAATATAATCTTGGTAATGTGACATGATTTCCATCTTTTCCCTTTAAAGTACACACATGTATACATGTGTGTGTTTGTATATATTTATGTGTATAAAAAGTAAAAACACATTGTTAGGATCAAGCGCTTGCCATTACGCCAAAAGCTATAGTTAGTAGCAAAAGAGCAACTTTATTTCCTTATACTTACATAACAACCAACACACATATATGTACATTTATTTATTAATTTATAAATTTATTAATATGTATATTTATTCATATATTAAGGGAACTAACGTAAAATAATCTTCTTACTAGAAAAAATAACCTTTAACCAAATAGGTTACGATTACATTCTCCTAATCTTAAAATTCTTAACCAAGCTTATCACTGCGCCCTGTTAAGTCACGGCACCCCCCGACCGCCTTGTCGCCTAGGCGACAAGTTAAAAAATACAATCTATATCTAAACATTCTAAAGTCTAAACAATTAAACATATTCAACATACATCAAGTCACCAACTAGATAACACACAATAAATAAATATGAAATATCCATAAAAAAGTAGAATAATATCCAACATCCAAGTTAAAACTCTCAAAGAAGAAGAAAGAAGAACGATTCACAGACTGTTATGTTCTCGGCAAAAAGCTCTCGTCAATGGCCGAGAAGCTGGGGTTGGTGAAGAGGCAGACTTGGCTATAGTGTATGGAAGAAAGAATGAAGGTTGCAAAGAAGGGAGTTGGAAATATAATGTAAAGATAGAAGGAGTTTCTGGAGTCTCCGGCTCCTTAATTTCTTAAACTTCAATGCTTGTTTTATTCATTTTCCAGAGTCTTGTACTTATAGCAAAGCTATTACATAATTCAAAAGGAAGGCAGAATATTGTCTTCCTAAAATAAATTCACTAACAAAGGAAATAAAAAGATCATCTTGATTTGTTCCCTCAGTTTCCTGCCTGTATATCTTCAATGCGATTTCGGATCCGGCGCTGATATGACTTTCCAAAGAACGCATTTCATAGTTTGTACCTTGATGGTGGGGCAGTGATTCTTCCCACCCTCTGAACACCGAACATCCACCTTTTTATTTGCAATTGACAAAACAATTTATTTGTTCTCTTCAATTTTACTAAGTTTTAATGATGTTTATTTACATTACTCGTTCCCATTTATTCATTTGCTGAAGGCCTATTAAGTGTCCGGAGATTTGAATTAGAGTGAAGAGAAACTTAAAAGTAAGAAGCAAATGGAATGGTCGAAGAGGATAACTATATTTTAATGAAATTGATTAGGTGAGGAAGGAAACGAAGGGAGGTTTGAGATGGGGGTGTTTGGCAAATAGTTATTAGCGGATTGTGTTAGCGGGTTTGAGTAGTTGATAGCATTAGCTGATTGAAGAAAAATGTTTGGTAAATTAGTTGTTAGCTGATAACTGACTACATGCAAAATGACCTTTAAGGGTATAATTTATTTTTCTCAAAAAATTGAACGAAAAAGTTGCTTTGAGCAACTTTTTTTAATTTTAGCGTTTTGGAGCAATAAGCTGTTACAAAAAACTGATTAACCAAAAACCAAGTCAAATAGCTAATAGTGGTCAAAGAGTCAAACAAGCTAAAATTGGTTGATAAACTAACGATGTTACCAAACAGGGGCCTAAATGTGCTCAAGGGTAATAGCATATTCTTGCTTCAGCTCTCCTTTCCTTTACCTCTTGTTTTTCTGTCTGTTTTATTGTAAATTATTCTCCTCTTCTGCTTTCCTCTGTATCTGTCAAAGTAATTAACCAAGCTAATCCACATGCTATAAATGACTTCATAGAAGTGCACTTTTTGTGTTTGTGACATAACTTTGCTGATATTATTCTCAGATTGCTGATGTTGTTGATCCTAGGGCGGAAACCTTCATTTTCAGGTATATTACTTTTCTATATTAGAATCTTAATTGGCTATTGCTCGTCTTTCTTATCTTATGACAATATGAGTAGTATAATTTTAAAAAGTGAATAAGGTCACTGTATTTTGTTTACAGTTCAAAGTCACTAAGACGCAGAAAGTCTCAGACTGTTGTCAAATATCCAAAGCATGCAAAACATATCTCAGATTTGGTCTTCCCTACAGCAGTCAATGAACTCCAGCACAAGACTGACGGTAGTAATTCTGCTTAGTGCGTTAAATTTTTCTGGCAGCTGATTTTTTTTGTGTTTGTTTTCTGTAAGGCTGATTTTTATCTTTTTTTTTTTTTTGGGTGTATATGTTTCTTTAGTTATAATTTTCTCCTTCTAAATTGCTTAGTTATATGTTTCTTTAGTTATAATTTGCTTACTTTCTTCAGCATCCTGGTGCTCCTTCTAAATTGCTTCACCTGCTATTCTTGTAAATGTGATTCTCTGCCCCTTAGTAGCATATCGTCTGTACTCAATGATTTTGATTAAACCAAATCAAGATACTGATAATGCCTTGAAAAATAGAACCAATATTGTCAATATTAGCATCAGCAGCCTGCTTTGGAATTTTTTTTTTGGAAGTTTTACTATATCAAAGTGGACAAACTTCTTGCTAAGTGAGCTTGGGAAGCAAAGATAATGAAGATAACTAGTGAAGATTATGATTATGATTTTACATTTAAGGGGTATAGAATGGACAATAATGCCTATGAGAAGTTTACAGAGAAGCTAATTATTGGAAGACAAATGCTGTTTAATTCTTGAAAGTTGGTGGTAAAATTGAAGTTCTGCTATAGTCAATGGACCTTGCAGAAAAGCTGACTATTTAACAACAAATGGTTAAAAGATGGGAGTAAAATGGAAGTGTATGTCATTATAGTCAAAGGACCTAAAGTCGAGTTATCTGTAACAGGTAAACTAACACGCACCTTTTTAAATATAAAAAACCTTGGATAGAGAAAAGTTAACTTCCCGTTTTTAGAATCTTTAATAGTAAGGACTAGAGTACTTCACACTTAAAAGGGAAATATAGACAAGTCATTATTAATTATTTCCTTTGATAGGTAAACTTTATAATTTACAAAAAGGCAATACCAAGCTGGAGTAGCCAATTTCCCTGAGCATCACTATTGCAAGGACTCTAGACAAGCCATAAATTCCTCCAAGTGATTTAAATATGTTATATTCAAAAGCAAAAAGAAAGAGCCTTGAAATACTAAACTTTATGTGAAGAAGTTTGAATTAACAAGAGTCTTAAAATACTATACTTAACATAATGCAAAGAAGTGTTAATCCTAAGCATCTTGTATACCAAAATATGGTTGATTTGGGAGATGCACCAAAATATGTATTTCACAATAGGAAAATGAGACATGATCATGATGTATGATGTGTCGCATTTAGAAAATGCAATGTAATATTACATTAATGCGATGTAAGAAAATTGAGTGTCTAAGAAGTGTGCACAAAAACAAGAGCCTCAAAATACTAAAAATTATTCAAAGAAGTGTGAATCCTAAGCATGGTTGATTTGGGAGATGCACCAAAATATGTATTTCGTAATATGTAAATAGTACCTGATCCTGATGTCTCATTTCTCTAAAGCAGTGTTGTGTCGCATTTTGTAAATGCAATGTAACGTCACATTAATGATTAGTTTCATCTATTTTAATTATTTAATTGGGATTAATGCATAGTCAAGTTGAGTTGTACTTGAATGTATTTATTGTTTATGTATTATGTATTATCCTTGTTTGGATGTTTTAAAATGCTTAATATGCTATGAATATGTGGTAATTTGAAAATCTGAATAGCATTTAATTTTAATGATCTCTAAGTCCCTAGTTTGCATATTAGACACTGCTATACTTGCCAATTGTTATCAATAACAATTACTAGCACTCCCTCCGTCACACTAAGTTTGTCACTTCCGTTTGTTTGGTCAGCTTACTAAATTTTAACTTAATTAGTACAACTAAATTAAATATTTTAAATAGATTATATATTAAGAAACTATACAAAAAGTTTAACTTGCCTAAAAAATTGGAATGTTAAAGTCTAAAATATGTAGATGTTAAAACTTGATCAGAGTTAAATTGTGTTGACAATTGAGGAATGAAAATAAACAAACAAAATAAAACAAAGGGAGTAACTATTAGATGTACTACCAAATTTGTAGAATGTGTCGTGTGCTAATGCCACCAATTTTCCATCTTTCTCATTGTATGCAATCAGTGCCTGAGAGCAGCTCTGCACCTTCTGCAAGGCTTCAAAATCAAAATTGGAGGGCATCAGTTGAATGCTTTGATCCGAAGAAGTAAGATCGCTGCTTCTGTTTTCTTTAGTAACTTAGATGAAGGTTATAAATTGATAACATTTTGAACTGTCAACTGTGTTTGGATATACATTTTTGGGTACAGTAATAGTAAATATTTGTTTAGATGTATTTGAATTTCCTGTAAAAAAAAAAAACAAAAAAACAAAAAAAGATCCTGACAACAGCCAAATAACAAAAGCGGTCCACTATCTGCACTATGTAGAGGTGGGTGGACTAGTGCTTTATTTGCAATGCGGTATAAGTTGCTTAGTTCCTTGACCTCTAGAAGTGCATTTTCAACAGCATGTGACTGTAACTGCATTTGCAACTGTGGTATATTTTTTGTGTTTCATACTAATCAGTGTTTGTTATATACCGTTAGATAAATGGCTACTTAAAACCGTTTAATAGAAATATGATGCTTTTGTTCTGATGCCTTGCTCCACTTCCCATTTGGCTCCACACTACTTTTGGCTTTGAAAGAAAGGAATATTGTAGTATGGATGATTTAGAGATGGTTGAGTCAAAATCTTGGAATAGAAAATTGAAGCTAATACTCTGTACGTAAGTAATTTACCTTATTATTAATTGCTTTCATTGCAGATGCCCATTGACTCTTTGGCTCTCACCAAGCTTGAGTGACATTTGATGCATCTTGGAACTATTTATTAGAAAGCAAAGGTGATCTTAAAAGTTATGGACATTTAATTTTTCTCTTGGTTCTTTACTGCAATTTCCTGCTTTGGCATTGTGCAAGCCAACGCTTTCATTTATCGCTTATGAATGATTTGAAGCCTCTATGTTCAAATACATTGCCTCCTGATTATATCTTTCTCTAACCCTTTTGGCCAAAAAGCAACTTGAATGTCTTTTGAGAGTTAAAATAGTGTCAATACATAATTTAGGAACCAATGATCAGGTGTTAATGGCATGATTAGGATCCCTAGTTAGCCCCATAATTCTCTCTTGATGTTGTCTAGAAATTATATGGGTACTAGGAAGGAGGGATATTTTCACATGTACCTCTAAGGATTATGATAGTAACACTTGGCTCTTCTTGTTCCTTCATCTCCTTAGTAAGTTTGTAATGGCAACAAAATGGAAGAAAACGTTAAGTAGATTATTATTTTTTTTTTTGTGTGTGTGTGTAAACCACGAGGTGGTCTGGGTCTTTTTCTATCTGTTTAATGGTCCTGGTCCACCCGACTAATCCCCATTCGATGTTCGCTCCGAAAGGCACGGGAGCTGGCCCAAAGGGAATCGTCACTTGTGGGAATCGAACCCGGGTTACTCCGGAATTCTCCCCACAAAGAGAGCTCATTTGTCACTTGAGCTACCCTGTTGGGTTGTTAAGTAGAAATTATGAAGTACCCTGATCAACCACTTGTCAACAAATCTGTGTTTGGGTTTACCTGTAATTGCCTAAGTGCCATGGGGAGTATCTGCTTTAATTAGTTGCCCTTTGCAAACCTCAAACTGTCTAAATTCTTAGTCCTGCCTTGATCATCTTTTAATGTTTTTTTTGCAGGTGGTGGAGACTGCTTATGATCAAACTGTGGAGTGAAGTTATCCTTGATGTGTATTTCAAACTGATTAAAATAATTGATTTCTTGCCTGTTATGGTTTTGGCACAATGGTTTGATGACTTTGGTTTTGAAGATTGCAACTATTGTAGCTTGAGTGAGTTAACTCCAGTTTGAAGGATTGTCTTTGTTTTACTGTCTAAGCATCTATTATGTCATTTATGTGACAAATCTTTCAATTATTATGCCATAAAGGTCTAAAAATTATGTTTCTGCAGTTGACATATTTTACACATAATATGTTATTTTTAAGATATTATGTGTTTGTGCCTTCAATTTATTTACAGGCACTATAACTGTTAATTGCACGTACAAAATATATTAATTGCGAACACATAATTTATCTGTTCTCTTTATTTTTACTAAGTTTTAATGATGTTTATTTACATTAATCTTTTTTCCCATTTATTCATTTGCTGATTTGCTGAAGGCCTTATGAAGCGTCCGGAGATTTGAATTAGAGTGAAAAGAAACTTAAAGTAGGAAGGAAATGGAATGGTCGAAGTGGATAATTATAATATTGTAATGAAATTGATTAGGTGAGGAAGGAAACAAAGGGAGGATATGAAATTAAGGGGTGTTAGAAGATTGAGTTAGTAGTTTTGACTAGTTAATAGCATTAATTGATTGTAAATAAATATTTGATAAATTAACTGTTAGTTGATAACTTAATAAGGGTGCAAACGAGCTGAGAAGGAAACAAAGGGAGGATATGAAATTAAGGGGTGTTAGAAGATTGAGTTAGTAGTTTTGACTAGTTGATAGTATTAATTAATTGTAAAAAAACATTTGGTACATTAACCGTTAGTTGATAACTTAATAAAGGTGCAAACGAGCTGAGCCGAACTCGAGCTCAATTACTAATAGGGAGGCTAAGCTCGAATTCGACTCGTCATTTTTTGAGCAGCTCGAGTGTTTGAGCTCAAGATTGCTCAAACTTTTAAATTTGAGCTTGAATTTGACTTATTTAACTTAATGCTTCAATTAATAATAAAAATTATTGTACCAATACATAAATAATAAAAACTAACTCACAAGTCCAAGAACCCTTCTTCCAAATTCATCATTCATCTGTCATGTTCTTCCATCTTACCAACAAGAACACCCTTAAGGTCCTACATGCACCAAAACAGGTTGATCCATTTTGCCTTCTTTATTCCATCTTTGAAGCATTTGAAACATACCCTTATAGCTCAAGGAATAAGTAGAGAGCACGGTAATTCCGGTATTCCTCATTAACAACAAAAACTGTGTTTGTGGTGGGATCACAAACCTTTTCTCCTGCCTCATGCCTCCTCTGTAAGCATTATAGTGTTGTTAACCTTCAACACCAGATGCTTGTCAGCACGATTGCAGAGATATTCTTGTATTGTCCTCCTGATGTTTCGTATATATTTAACATACTTAATTTTTAGCTGGATCTAGTGTCATTGGTGAGTGGTGACTACCTTAGGGCAGAAACAATATCTGGATCCGTTGACAACACCTCTGGATGCCCAACTGAGAGTCTGCAACGTTCAGCCTAGGATAGGCAGCGGGGAGCAGTGTCGTTGGCGGCAGTAGTGGCGTCTGATCTGATGCTCCTCCTCGTCAGCGGCAGTGGCATCTCCGGGGAGGCACTGAGAGATTTAGGCAGCGCCGCAATGGGTATGCCAATCAATTTAATCCAATCCAATCCATATCAGATGTATTGGGGCACAGTTATCACCAGTAATCAGCACAGGAACATAATCCATCATGGAAGCGATGGAAACGGTTAGCATCTCTAATAATTATAACTCTACGCGTGACCATTGCAATAAGTTTTGCTGCAGAATGACAATCATCACACGTACGTAGGTTCTTAATCACACGAACCGGTGCATGAGGAGGTGTCTTCAAGAGAGCATACGCAATAGCCAATTTCTCGCTATGATAGCTAAGGTAATCTTCTTTCTGTTCCTCCTCAACATCGTGCAGGTCAGAAGCTATATTGGGGATGTAACCTAACGGTTTTATCATGTTCAACAACTCTCTTACCTTCTCACGAACCCGAACAGTCTCTGGATGCATGTTATCACCAGAAACAAAGATGTGGGTGTTACTCTTAATTTCTGTCCAGCTTATTCCAGGTTCCTTTTTGACATTCCTTTCCCTCATAAGCTTCCTCATCCTTGCAACTCCATCCCACCTCTTCACTCTAGCATGCATGTTAGACAACAGGACATAGGTTCCCACATCATAAGGATACATATTCAACATAAGTTCCGCAACCCTCTTACCTAAAGCGTAATTTCGATAGACATGGCAAGCATTAAGCAAAGTCCTCCAGGCAACAACATCCCATGTGATAGATGTGGACCTCATAAAGTTCTCGGCTTCGTTGAGTCTTCCAGCCTTACCTAGAAGGCTAACAACGCAGGTATAATGCTCCAACCCGGGCTTAATGTTCATTTCCCTCATTAGATGGTTCAAATAGTAGAAACCTTCGTCTACTTGACCCAAGTGCCCACAAGCAGATAAAACTCCTATAAAAGTTACATAATTTGGCTGTTCTTTGGAAGCCAACATTCTCTTAAACATGTTAATCGCACCCTCGCCAAATCCATGATGTGATAAACCAGATATTATCAAATTCCAAGTCACTGTATCTCGGTAAACCATATTTAAAAACAATGTACGAGCAGCTTCAATGAGGCCACACTTTGAGTACATATTGATCAAAGCGTTCCCAACAATACTGTGATCCTTATATCCCGTCTTCTCAACATATGCATGTAATGAATTTCCATACCCAAGTGCTGCTAGACTAGCACAAGCGTTCAGCAATACCGCAAAAGTGTATTCATTTGGCGAAACACCCTGCATATCCATTTGTGGGAACATTTTCAGTGCTTCCTCAAAGCACTCACTCTGCAAGTAAGCAGCCATCAATGTAGTCCAAGAGACCACATTTCGAGTTTGTAGAGAGTCAAAGATTTTTCTTGCAGAAAAAATTTCACCACATTTTCCATACATGTCCATTATTGCACTACCAATAAAGAAATCAAACTCTACACTGGACTTCGATAACTTGCCATGCACTTGCAAACCAAAATTCAAATTCTTAAGCCGAGCACAGATACCAAAAGCATTAACATATGTGACATTATCCCATTTTAAGCCATCACCCACCATTCTTTTCAAAATACCCAATGCTTCACTTACATACTCGCCATCCAAAAGGCCATTGATAAAAGAATTGTAAGTGACATTATCCGATCCCGAATCCAATACCCTCATAGCTCCTTCCACATCTGAAGAAATCGAGTAAATGCTGACAAGCCCATTCTTCACATACTGATGAGACAACAACCCGGACTTCACCACATACCCATGACACTGCCGCCCCTCATCAAACAAACCACTGCTTGAACAAGAAGATAGAACTGTCGATAAAACATACTCATTTGGACGCAAACTGCCCACTGCAATCATGTCTTTGAACAGTTCAAGAACATCATCCACAAAACCACTGCGGAAATACCCTGCCATTATAGCACTCCAGGAAACTATGTTTCGTGCATGCAATCTGTCGAACAGATGGCGGGCAACGGGGAGCTGGCCACACCTCGAGTAAAGACCAATAAGAGAATTATGGTGGACAACATGGCATTCAGAGGCTTGATTGGATACAATCAAAAGGGCATGTATGATTTTTCCAAATTTGAGGTTCTTATTGTCTGCTAAAGTTTTTAGCAATTTGGTAGTGTGTTCAATGGAGAAGATTATTTGATGTACGCTGGGGAGAGAAGAAATTCCCATAGAAAACATGAGAATCAATTTTTCTTTCTATGCTGTTCTATTGGCAACTCCTTCACCTTAAAATATTCTTCTATTGTTCATACGAGTAAATATGAAATAAAAATAGAGAGGGACACGGTAGTTACAGGCAGTTTATATCGTACACCAGGTCGTTTTGAAACATAAAGGGGCACGGTAGTTACAGGCAGGTTATATCGTGCACAATGTGCGCCCTGGTGCAAAATGACGTCTTTTTGAAATTTTTTTTCTAGAAATTCCTCTTTCCTATGTCGATTGTTAATTTTCTTTAAAAAAAAATCTCATGTTTCAAAAATGTACATAATTGTATAAAAAAAATACACATAATTTTTTTGAAAAGATAATACACCTAATCTAACATAATACATAAATACACGTAAACTTTTAACATAATACACATAAACTCTTGTTGGTCCCAAAAGATGTAAGGTGAAAGTCTAGAGGGGGGGGGGGGGGGGGGGGGGGGGGGGGGTGAATAGACTTTCAAACTTTAGCACAGTACAACAATTGCTAAGGCAACAGAGAAACCAAGACTCTTAACTAGATTGTTAGAGTCCGGTGCACAGCGGAAATAATAAACGATACGGTGTGTGTAGATTGTGTCAAGATTATTCTCGTGAGAAGCAAGCAAGAGCAGTAAGTAAAGAAAGCAGTAAAGAACACAAGGCAATTTATAGTGGTTCGGATGTGGTGTAATCCTCCTACTCCACTTGCTATCGCCCAAGAGCAATTCACTATATCCACCACTTCTTGGTTCCAAGATACAATGAATTCCGTGATCTAGTGCTTTGATCACCAAGCCCACACTAATCACGTCCAGTGCCACCAACACTACTGCTTCGGGCTTCACGTCGCCGCGTTACTTTCCCAGGATTTCACGACTCCGCATAACTTTCCCCCCGTCTTCTACACTCCGGTAGAAACGTATCCTTCCGTGATCTAGTGATTTGATCACAAAGCCTGCACTAATCACGCTCAATGTCTTCCGACACTCCTGCTTCGGATCTCACAACTTCGTGTGACAATCCAGGATTTCACAACTTCGTGTTATTTTCCTCCTTTCTCTTGTTTAGCTCAAAAATAAAGTTTTGCCTTGCTTCCAACTTTGAGACTCTGTAGATGATCTTCAATGGTGCGCTAAGTCTCTTGTAATTGATGAAGATTCTAACACTCTTGGATATTTCTTTTGTAAGCTATGTATCACTCTGAGTGTTTATCTCACTAAGAATATATCAATTTAAGTTCTTGAGATGGAAAGCTTTCTTTGAATTTTGTATGCTCTGTTTAGCCCTGTTCTTTGCTCTTTGTATTCTTGCTTCTGCTTTCCACTGCTTCAATCTTCATCCTTTTATAGATCGTAATGAGAATCCGTCCGTTGGAAATAAACGTTCTCATTTTTTTAATTTCATCTAGCTGTATAGCCTTTTCAGAGGATAAGATAACGTTGCAGATATGTCAGAGATTCTCTGCAAATTGAGCTTGAGGTTTTAGCAAAAATGGCGTCCCAAAAACTTCATCTGGTGTAGATTAGACTAGTAATTTGCTATTTATATCTGGGAACTGCTTCCTTTCGGCCAAACCATCGCCAAAACTTAGGGATGTGAGATTTGAACCTGTGACCTTACATATAATATTTCAAGCTTGTACCAACTCGTCCATACAACTTTTTAGTCATTATCTTGTTTCACTTGGTGTACTCCTTTCTTTCTATAGATGCTTGATCTTCAAGATAGCTTCATGCAAACTTTAAGTCACGTTCTTTCTTTTTTGGGATTTCTTGAGGGATTTCTTCTTGAATTCTTGAGAGATTTCTTCTTAAGATGACAGTCTTCATAACTTCTTCATACGCATACATCTTCCTCTTTTGTTTGTCATTTTCTCTAGGCAAATTCTTGATTTTAGGCTTTATCTCTTCTTCATCCATTTCCTCAACTAATGAATTTATTTTTCCCTTTCTTGGTCTATGACTCGACTAGTCTAACCAAAATAAACTTGGGGTTCAACGATTTACAATATGGCATATCAAAATCTATTACAATTTATTCCTAACAACTCTTAACATAATACACATAAATTTCTTGTTTCGGATGTACATAATTGTATAAAAAAAATGTACATATTTGTATTAAAAAAATGTACAATAATTATATAAACAAATGTACATAATTGTATACCATAATGTACAAAATCGCGTCAACTTCCTACACAACTTAACAAAAGAACGTCGTTTTGGGAGGCGCAGGGCGCACAGCGCTGTGTGCGCCGTGATGCAGGGTATAACGATTGATAGTTATAGGCTTACAGCGGATGTGGGCTGGTGGCTACGGCGCTCGGCGTTGGCTGGGCTGGTGGTTACATCGCTCGGTGATGGTGGGCTGGTGGTTACGGCGCTTGGCGATGGTGGGCTGGTGGCTACGGCGCTTGGCGATGGTGGGCTGGTGGCTACGGCGGTGAATCCGATGATTGTGGCAGCGCGATGGTGGCTACGACGGTGATGATGAAGTAGCGGTGGAGGTGTGAGGGCGGTGTGTCACTGGCTCGTTGGTCTTACTGCGCTGGAGGTTGGAGAGAGCTAGAGAGGAAACTACTTCTGACTCCTATTTGTATTAAATTTATGATATAAAAAAAAAGGTGGCATACCTTACAAAGTCAGGCAAATTATGATATGCATCCGTGTGCATCATGCATCGTGCACACGGATGCAAAAATGCCGTCATTTTACTTATAAAAAAAATTGTGTAGTTATGCAATTCTGGATGTATAGTTATGAAGTTATGGATGTGTAGTTATGCATGCAATTCTGAATGTATAGTTATGAAGTTATTATTTCACATTCTGAATGTATAGTTATGAAGTTATGGATGTGTAGTTATACATGCAATTCTGAATGTATAGTTATGAAGTTATGGATGTGTAGTTATGCAATTCTGAATGTATAGTTATGAAGTTATAGATGTGTAGTTATGCAATTTTGAATGTATAGTTATGAAGTTATAGATGTGTAGTTATGCAATTCTGAATGTATAGTTATAAAGTTATGGATGTATAGTTCAAATTATGCACAACATAACGCCGTTAATGGCAATCGAAACTAATTTTTATTTATTTTTTTTAAATTGGACATCAAAACGACGTCGTTTTTGCAACCGTGTGCACCATGCATAGTGCACACGGTTGCACAGCATAACTACTCACAAAGTCACAAGTTATAACCCAGAATTTTTTTGTAGAATTTTTATGAAAAATACTATATGTACTTCTATTATCTACTCTCAATTTTTATTTCCACACTTAGAGAGTTAGAGTAATCATATTTGTGATTTTTTGAGAGGTTTTTTTTTTTTAATCAAAAAATTAAAGTTTTGAGTTTGAAGACTAATGGGAGAATGGGAGATGTCTTTTTTTTTTTTTTTTTTTTTTTAAATTTTATATTTCCTGAAAGTTCAATACTTTAGTAGGGCTCACTATTACTGAAATGGAAATAAAGAAATTTGTCTTTCTTCGCGTGCTGGAGATGTAGGTGCCCAGCCTGGCGCGTGCACTGCACGTTTTTTTTTTTTTTTTTTCTTGCCCTCCTATCTCTCTAAGGGCATCTTAAAAATCGTGTAAAGATCAAAGCTGATGTAGTTGCTTTTAAAATTTTGATGTAAACACATTTATAAGAGCCTGAAAAAGAAAAAAAAAAAACCTATCACCGTCATATCACAAAGTAAATTTGAAAGAGTAAGATGAGGGAGTACATATAGTATAAGACTATTGCCAGTTGCGACCTAATTCCAACGGTATTAACTGCCATTCAAAGCTTCAATTTTCAAAGACCCATAAGAGCAATGGAGCAAAAATTGCTCCACTTGTTGACAAAATGCAGGGTTTCCAAACAATTGAAGCAGACCCATCTTCAGATCATCACCAATGGCCTCAAAGACAGTAACTTTCTTGTGCCCAAGTTCATTAGCCAGTCCGCTGGCCTCATTTCTCTCGACTATGCTGCTCGTGCATTTCTAAGCGTGGGCAACCCTAGTACATTCCTCTGCAATGCTTTGATCAAATGTTTCATAGGAAAGACTCACAAAGATGCCCTATCTACTTACAATCAAATGCGGGCATCGATGATTTCGCCAAACAGCTTCACTTTTACCTTCTTGTTAAGATGCTTTGACGCTTTTGAAGACGGTACAGCAGTGCACTGCCACATTGTAAAATTGGGATTTGAGTCGAGCGTGTTTGTTCAGAATACTCTTTTGGATTTTTATGCCAAGTGTTGTGAGGATTTGGAGATGGCCCGTAAACTGTTCGAGGTAATGCCTGAAAGAGATGTTGTTTCATGGAACACTATGATCCAAGCTTATATGGCTCACGGAGAGATGGCATCTGCTTTCTGTTTGTTTGAGTCAATGCCTGAAAGGAATGTTGTGACGTGGAATTCAGTAATTTCTGGGATTGTGAAGGCTGGGGATATAGACTTGGCACATTCTGTTTTCCAGCGTATGCCACAAAGGAGTGATGTCTCGTGGAATACGATGGTTTCTGCATACATAAATTCGGGTGACTTGAGAACTGCACAAGCTATATTCGACGACATGCCAGCCAAGAGTGTTGCCTCGTGGACAATAATGGTGTCGGGCCATTCTAAACTTGGTGATCTTGAATCGGCAAGGAGGGTTTTTGATCAGATGCCTATAAAAAACGTCGTCTCATGGAATGCTATGATTTCGGGGTATGTTCATAACCACATGTTTGATGAAGCTCTTTCTGTTTTTCACCATATGCTGATTGATGGGAAATGCAATCCTGATCAGTCGACTCTAATCAGTATACTATCCGCTTCTGCACACCTGGGATGTCACGAGCAAGGAAAATGGATACACTCTTATATAAAAAGATTCAAGTTTGACTTGGCAGTTCCCCTAGGGAATGCTTTAATAGATATGTATGTGAAATGTGGAGACATGGAAAACGCGATGTCAGTTTTTGTGAATATGAGTAGGAGTTGCGTTATTACTTGGACTACGATGATTTATGGGATGGCTGTCAATGGACATTGCAGAGAAGCCTTAAATCTGTACGATAAGATGTGTTCAGAAGGATTAAAACCGGATGGTGTTCTATTTATTGCTGTCCTTTCAGCGTGTGTTCATGGAGGGCTGTTAGAAGAGGGCAAAAGGGTGTTTGAACAGATGGTTCATAAGTTTGGAATCAAACCGAGAATCGAGCATTATGGCTGCATGGTTGATCTTCTTGGTCGAACTGGCTGCTTAGAAGAAGCAATGAGTTTTGTCGAAACAATGGATTTGGAACCTAATGCCATAATCTGGGCTACATTACTTTCTGCTTGTAAAATTCATAGAAACGGGGAACTGTTGGAGTCCTTATCGAAGAAGATTATGGAGAAAGAGCCCAATAATCCTAGTTACTTAACACTAATTACAAACTTGAGCTCATCAGTTGGGCGGTGGCAAGACACGTTGAACTTCAGGATGGCAACAAGACATCAGGGAAAGGAAAAGTTGCCTGGTTGCAGCTCGATTCAAATCGGGAATAGTGTACATGAGTTCTTAGCAAAGGATACGAGGCATACACAACGAGAGGAGATCTATGGAGTCTTGGGTATTTTAAATGGGCACTTGATGTCATCACATGACAGTGAAATAAAGGCAATGGTCATTGCTTTTGATTGAGATATTCCTTTTGCCAATTATAACTGAAAGGGTAAAATTATTGTTAAAATGTGGGGTTTTGAAAGATGATATCATAAAAGAATTTCCCAATTTCATATATTTCTACCAATGACTTTTCCAAGGTTTCGGCGCTGCAGATCAGAAGAGGTATACTCATCTATGACATAGAGATCGAACTTGATTTTATTTTTGAAATTTCAATATCCATTCACTGCACATTCTCTCAGCAGTTTCTTTGCTCTGCCTAAAGTTATGTTTTTTCTTAGAATCTTACAATGTCAAGACAACATAATGCAGTTGAACTATGAAGAATCATGGGAGCAATATCCTCAGGTAAATAATATATAGCCTCAACAGGCAGAACATTAGTTCCAGCATGTTCTAAATTCTAATGAACATTTTTTCAATTCAATGCTCTTTTAATTTGAAACCTTCTCACGTATCCTATGCATTGCTTTTATATTGTCATATTGTGTAGTGGTAGAATTGTTTTGGGAATTGAGCACCTATTTTACATCATACTAGTTCATTTTGTACTACTGGGATTTTGAACAGTGACCATAAACTTCTTGGTGTATCTAATGATTATGTTAAGAGTGAAAAATAAGAGAGAACATATGGGTTTTTATAAGAGCATGAGTTAATTTAACTAATTAATTGGATTAAGTTTTTTAGTGTGATTTGGTCCATATGCATTGTAGCTCGATTATAATAACATGGTATTACGAAGTTTGAAATATTTACCAAAACGCCACTGTATTTATTTATTTTTTTTCCAAATTCCCTTGCTTTAGAGTATGATGAATTCGCCAATGACCTTGGGGGCGGTATTGACTCTTTGTACTTCAATAGGTTGAGAAAGTAGATATGAACAAATATGTTAGAAGATTGTTAGAGGATTGCTCTCAGCTACCCATTTGAAATTCAAATGAATGGCTGGTCTTACTGTTAGACTGTATATATATAGGCTTCTCTGTACAGCTTATAATTCATTTAGTGTTTAATACATATACTTCACTGCATAAGTTCTACATGGTATCAGAGCGGTGAGTGTGGGTGGTGGGCTTTGGTCGGAAAGAGGAGACGACGCCGTCGGAAGAAGCGGAACAGCCACCGGAGGCCTCACGCGCCACCGCAATCCTAGGGTTCCGACGCCACGCGCCGGCGCGTGCGCAGTTCTCCGGCGTCTACTCCGGTCGAGGCAGGTACCGTTGGGCTCGCCTCTGAACACCCAGCACGTCTGCAGTGGTGGTGTAGTCATGCAAGCTTGCTAAACATTGCCGGGTTCCATACCCTCCTAGGGTCAATAATAGAGTAGAATCTTCATTTCAATTGATTCACTCAGATGTATGGGGTCCATGTCGAGTAGTATCGAAGTCTGGGTTTAAATATTTTGTAACTTTCATAGATGATTTCTCTAGACATACTTGGCTATACCTCATGAAATCTAGAGATGAGTTGTGGTTAAGATGAACCCGGATGGTTCTGTAGCTCAACTCAAAGCACGCTTGGTGGCCAAGGGGTACGCACAGACATACGGTATAGATTATACCGAGACATTCTCTCCCGTAGCCAAGTTAGCTTCTGTGCGTATATTTATCTCTTTGGCAGCTTTTAGTCATTGGCCCTTGTACCAGCTTGATGTGAAGAATGCCTTCTTACATGGTTATTTGCGTGAGGAGGTCTATATGGAGCAACCACAGGGGTTTGTTGCTCAGGGGGAGTCTGGGAAAGTGTGCAAGCTGAAGAAGTCTTTATATGGGCTAAAGCAGTCTCCGCGTGCGTGGTTGGGAAGGTTTAGCAACGTGATTGTTGAATTTGGAATGAAGAGAAGTGCATATGATCACACTATCTTTTACAAACATACTAATTATGGGTGTGTTTTGTTGATAGTGTATGTAGATGATATTGTAATTACAGGAAGTGATGTAGGTGGAATCGAGGCTCTCAAGTCCTTTCTCGGAACTGAGTTTCATACTAAGGATCTGGGAGTGCTGAAGTACTTTCTGGGAATTGAAGTAGCGCGCTCTAAGAAGGGCGTGTTTCTCTCACAGAGGAAATATGTGTTAGACTTGCTCGGTGACACAGGGCTGCTTGGGTCAAAACCGTGTGACACGCCCATGGAACAAGGTGTGAAGTTATTCGCAGGAGAGGGGGAGCCATTTGAAGATCTGGAGAAGTACAGGAGGTTAGTAGGAAAGTTGAATTATCTCATAATTACCCGTCCGGATATTGCGTTTCCAGTGAGTGTGGTTAGTCAATTCTTGAGTGCACCTACGCAAACTCACTAGGAAGCAGTTATTCGAATTGTGAAGTATCTGAAGGATGCTCCTGGAAAAGGGATTCTTTACGCTAACCACGGGTATATGGGTGTTGAGGCGTTCTTTGATGCAGACTGGGCTGGTTCACCGAGTGACAGAAAATCTATGACAGGCTATTGTGTGTTTGTAGGAGGCAACTTGGTCTCGTGGAAGAATAAGAAGCAGAATGTGGTGTCGCGCTCAAGTGCAGAGTCGGAATACAGGGCTATGGCTCATGTGGCGAGTGAAATAGTCTGGGTGCATAACATTCTAAAAGAAGTGGGTGTTGAAGTGAAGTTACTAATAGATTTGTGGTTTGATAATTGTGCTCTCATACACATCGCGAGTAATCCAGTCTTTCACCAGCGGACGAAGCATATTGAAGTTGACTGCCATTTTATACGGGAGAAAGTGGAGCAAGAACTAATATCTCTTACACACGTTCGGAGCGGTGATCTACTGGCTGACATATTCACGAAAGGGCTTTGTAAGAGTTGGGTGTTATATATATGTAACAAGTTGTGCATGTTTGATATCTATGCTCCAACTTGACGGGGAGTGTTAGAAAATTGTTAGAGGATTGCTCTCAGCTACCCATTTGAAATTCAAATGAGTGGCTGGTCTTACTGTTAGACTATATATATATATATATATATATATATATATATATATATATATATATATATATATATATATATATATATAGGCTTCTTTGTACAGCTTATAATTCATTCAGTGTTCAATACATACACTTCACTACATAAGTTCTACAAGATACTACATTGTAACAGAGTCAGTAGTACTCAAAAAAAACAAAAAAACAAAACAAAAAGAGTATGATGAATTCGCAATAGTTCTCATTTTATCCAATATCTATATATATATACATATATATATTTTGTATGTTGTTTTGGTAAATGGTTAGAGGAGTAGTTAACTAAAAGGGGAGAATCCAAAATTATAAAAGATGGAGGACAGCCCTATATAAATTCACATGTTTCCTTCTAAATTTTAATGTGAGATTCTTAACCTTTGTGTCAGTTATATATGTCTCTGGTGGAACAATAATATGATATTTTCTGTCACCTATTAAATATGAGAGCTAATGGTTTTTTCTGTAGGCTCTTGTCCAAGAATACTTATGGATATTCTGAGTAGGGTATCCACTTAGACAGGCCGAGTAGGTTGTCTGATCGGACCATTGGTCAGGCGGCGGGGGTGACAGTTGGTTGGTAGCTAAGAGAATGGAAGAACCATGGGACCTGGTCGCGGGAGGTGCGAATATTTCAAGATCTTTCTTTGTGTCTTATTTCGTTTAAAGCACGTTCGTATTGTTTTACAGCTGTGTTATTGGCCCGCCGACCGACTACCTATATGAAATAATTAGAATAAATTATATATGTATGTATATATACTTGAACTTGAACCTTTTAAGTTTTGATTTTGACCATAATTGAAACCCCATGTTCCCGTTACATACGATTCGGTGGCATAGTACACGGTTCAGTTAGAACCGAGCCATAGTCATCCCTATTGTTAGGGAGGGAGGGAGTGTATGTATATGGGTGGGTAAAGGTGAAAATAGGCGTCTAGCATGTGTCAAAGTGAGAATGAAAAAGTGCATTACATAAAATTATAGAATGTATTTATTCTTCAATTTTACTTGTATATATTATCAAATACACTTGATAGTATAGTTTTGTGCAGGGCACATTTGTACTTAGGTGCGCGTTTTTATTGGAAGTGTTTAATCACTTATAACTTTTAAAATATTCTTAAAAATTTACTAAATTACTAAATAAAAACAAATGATATATTTATTTGTTATTTTACATATACAAACTACTAAATTAACAATTAATTTTATTAAACATATTTACGAATACTGGAATCACATATCAACTAACAAATAACGACCCACCCCATTTTCGATTCGCCAACTTGTATGATTATGTTGTCATTTGCACATCATTCCACGTATTAATTGTTTTTTTTAAAAAAACAAAAAAAAAAAAACAAAAACATCCCACGTATTAATTAGTTCATCATATACTATCTACTATCTATCTACTATACTAATAAGAGCCCAAGAGAGTTAGGCCTATAATGGGTAGAAAAAATGGCGGTCGAATTTTTTAATCAAATGAATAGCTCAGATTGATCAGATTTTAATTTTTCCTTAAGATTTCCTAATTTATCCTTAATGAATATGATTATCTATTAACTTTTCCGTTAAATATTGTCTTTTCTGTTAATTTCGGTTAGTTCACCGTTAACTTACTCATTGATTTCAATAAGAAAGGTCTAAGGTTCGAACCCCATCCCAATCAAAGTTGGCATAATTAGTACTCTATTTTACTCTTATTAAATTACTAGTTTTTTTACGCACTTTGTGCGAATGAGATAATGTCCAATAATTATTTTTAAATAAGTATTCCAAAGTATATCAATGCAATATTATATAGGAGATTTTCATGCATATGTAAATAAATGTTGAATTTGTTTATTTAAATAGGTAATTTAAAGTATATAAATGCAAGATAATATATGAGAGATTGATTACAATTGTCCCTAAAATAAATGTTTGTAACTTTGTAATAACGTTAGTCTAAATATTTAGTTTTAAAGCGATAGTCTAAATAAATACTACTTTTGATTTAAATTTCTCTAATTCTTCTTAATTCTTTTTTTGGATAGCATTGTTATTGTTTTCATCTTCAGTACATGTCCTCTTTTTTTCTTTTCTTTTTTTTTTTTGTTTTTTTTTTATTGGTAGTGTTTCATGTGCAATTAGGTTACTGGTAGCAGCATAGAGGGATTCATCATGCAATGAGATTATGGTGTAGGAAGTTTTAGATTTACCTTGCTGTGTATATGACTGAGATTTTAGTTGTAATATGAACTCTTTAGCGTACAAACACCTATTGATATTTAGTAGTGATAGTTTTTTTCCCTACATGTTTCATGTGTTGTGAGGTGTGTGTCGCAGGTTATCATGTAAAAGTATTGAACGAAATATTAATATTTATTATATTTGTATAAAATACTTGGTAAATAAATAAATAAATAAATAAATAAATAAATAAATAAATATATATATATATATATATATATATATATATATATATATATATATATATATATATATATATATAACATGTTTTGTATTATAACTTTGATATTTAATTACAAGATAATGTAAAAAAGAAGACAATGAACAATGTAGTGAATATAATAAATTAATAAATTTGAAGGTAATAAATCTTTGAATTGTAGAAAATAAAGATAATATAACTAATGAAATTATATTTCTTTTAAATTTTTTTATAATGAATAATTTTTTTTAAAATAAAGCATTATAGACATCTAATTCTAAATTAATTAAATGCATATGTATTCTTTTTTGTTGTAGCTACTAATTTATTTAATTAATAAGAGTAATAAAGTGTCGTACATACTTTTCTTCAACAATAATGAAATCAATGATTTTTTTTTTTATTTCCATTCCTTGTTGAGACAAATTATTTTGTGAGTTTGTCCATAACAATTGCTACAATTGCTGTTAATAGAGGATGATAATAAATAATTCAAAATATATGGTTACAATAGATATTAATATAGTGATATAGTAAAAATTAACTTACAAATTTTTTTAGAAGTTTTCATGCATTGATAAAATTTTGATGTGTAAACTTGTTCAATTGGAGCTAGTAGGATGTTAACATTGTCAATTATTTGAAAAATGATCCTACCGTTTTAGAGTCCATGTGTAATTTTATTTATGGTCAACAACTTTGTAGTTAGGCCGCGCAGACAATGATGTAAGAACATTGTCCGATAAAAAAATAATAGTATAATATTAGTAATGTAATGTACAATTATACCATTATAAAAAAATACAAAAAAAAATATTAATACCATAATGGTCTAAATCATTCCAATAATGCAAAAGCATAATTGAAATATTAAGTTTTGTTCTAAATAATCAGAAGAAGATTAATTTTTTTAAAAAAAAAAACTTAAAATAAATTTGTTTTTTTTTAATAAAAAAATTCAAGAAAATCAAATAATTTTAAAGTAGTTCCTGATTTATAATATTTGATGCTCAACTTTGAATGCTATGTATTTAGTCGAGCTAATTATTTGACCAAAGTTTATGTTAAATTTTATATTATATATTTTTTAAATACATTTTAACATATTCATAATATATGTTTAACAATTATGTCAATTATACTTGGGATGAGGTTCGAACCTAAGACCTTATATAAATTAAGAGTATGTTAAGAAAAATAAATAGTTAACGGAATATTCCGTTACTAAAGTTTAAACTAACGGAATTTAGGGTTATTTAAGGGAAGAAAATAATATAATAGAGGGTAAATAAGGAAAATCATTAAAAGATACTAAAATCAAAATAATATGAACCATTCATTTTAAGAAACAATTAGTACCGACATTTTTTTTTGTTCCAGTTAAGGGCCTAACATTATTCGCTCTTATTAGATTTGTAGAAATAATAATTTAGTGGCTACAACAAAAAATAATACATATGCATTTCTTTAATTTAGAATTATGTGTCTACAATGTCTTTATTCAAAAAAAAAATTATTCATTATCAATAAATTAAATAAGAGAAATAATTTCATTAGTTATATTGTATTTATTTTTCTCCAATATAAAATTTCTGTACATTCAAATTCATCAATTGATTATATTCGCTACATTGTCCCTACAATATCTTTATTAAAAAAAATTATTTATGATTAATAAATTAATTAAGAGAAATAATTTTATTAGTTATATTGTCTTTATATTTCTCCAATTTATAAATTCTTTACATTCAAATTCATCAATTGATTATAATCACTACATTGTCTATTATCTTTTTTGTGCACTATTTTTTAATTAAATATCAAAGTTATAATACAAAATAATGCTATATATTTATTTACCAAGTATTTTATTAATACCATGAAAAAATTAAAAAAAATATAATTAATAAAGCCAATCATATTAACTACTTGAGTGATTTGTTGATAAAGAGAGTATTCAAATCACAAAACAAATTAAAGTGAGAACTACCTCGCAATGTCCTTGTTTGACAATCAGCAGTTAGCGGTTAGCGTTAGCGAATTATATTAGCGAATTTGACCAGCGAATTATATCAAAGGTTGGTGAAAAGATATTTAAAAAAATTAGATGTTTAGATTAACATGTAAAATGACCTAAGGGTATACGTATACATATATTTAATAATAATAATAATAATAATAATAATAATAATAATAATAATAATAATAATAATAATAATAATAATAATAATAATAATAATAATAATAATAATAATAATTGTTTTAAAAAATAAAAAATATAATTAAGCCAATCATATTAACTACTTGAGGGATTTATTGACAAAAAAAGTATTCAAATCACACAACAAATTGAAGTGGAAAACTATCTCGCAATGTTATTGTTTGACAATCAGCAGTTAGCTCTTCAATATTAATATATATTTAATATTTTATGCCCTAATTTTTATTTGCTCTCCCTTATGTCCCGTATTTAGTTTCAACCATACCTATACAATTATTTTATTGACAATTATAATCAATCTTGACTATATTATCTTTCATTTGTAAACTTAAAATTGCTTATTTAAATACGCAAATTTAACATTCAATTATCTATGCATGAAGAATTTCAATATAATCTTGCCTTTATATAGTTTAAAGTACATATTTAAAAAAAAAAAAAAACATTGGGCATTATCCCAATCGCGCAATGCGCGTAAAAAACTAGTATTAAAATAAGAGGATATATAGGTTTTAGATACCACTCAATCCATAGCATATTACTCCTTGTCCTATTTTATCTGTCATACTTGCTATTCATTGGTAAACCAATTCTATGTTCTTTGTTTATTTTCTTTAATATTTTTACTCATTTTTAAATTTGATTTTTTTTTTTGTTTAACAGTACTTTTAATGTAGTTTTTAAATATATACATTTTGTATACTTATACTAAATTTAATATTATGAAAAATTGAATTAAAAATAACTTCAGTCAGACTCGTTAATCGAATTAGACACATAAAATGGACGGAGGGAATATTAATTATTCATTATTTTATTTGTTGCTTTTTGAAAGAGTTGTTGGGAACTTGAATAAAAATTTTGGTCTACTCAAATAATAATAATAATAATAATAATAATAATAATAATAACAATAATAACAATAACAACTGATAGTGTTAATTACCACGTAAGCAATAATTAAACAAATACGAGACCAACTAAAGCAAGTAAAAATCTTTATTGATCACGACGAAGGCCCTAAGTACAATCTAGTTGGTTGCT